GGGGCTTTCCAAACTCGGCCATTTAAGATGCAAGGACCTCAACTCCCAGAATTCCCCAGCCAGCCGTAAAGTGCCCGAGTTTGGAGACCCCCGTTTTAAGAGTTCACATCCAAGTTTTATCCGCTGGCTGGGGAATTCTGGGAGTCGAAGTCCACCTTTTCCTAACCTCACCGAGGCTGAGAAACACCGATTTCCGCAGTCTTCCCAGAACCAAAGCCGCCCCGTGGAGAAAGCAGGCTCCGAGTGTTATCGCCCCTCCCCCCCCCCCCCCCCCCCACATAACAACGGCTCTCTCTCCCCAAAGAGCAAATCACTGGACAAGCTTTCGAGCACATGAGGACTCCAACTCCCAGCATCCCTCTGGGGCCACGCATGCGCGCTGCGTGTGGAACGCTGGCCGGGGAGGTCCGCTTGGCTCCGCCACCTGCGTGCGTGCGGCCTAGTGACGGCGATGGGGCTGAGACGGGCGCTGGGCCTCGGGGCTCGGTTAGGCCGGGTCCTCCTGCGGGGATGGCTCGCGGGGCCTCCCCACCACACCGCCGCGTCCCCGCCCGCCTCCTGCTTTTCCGCCGCCCCGTCCGCGCGGCCCCCGGGGCTGCTCCTCCTGCGCCTGGCCGCGGCCCGGCTGGGCCTCCGCAGCGTCCCTCTCCGGCGCCTCCCGCCGGCCCCGCGGCGGCTGGGGTTGGGGCTGGGGCTGGGGCTGGGGCTGCTGGAGCTCGCGGCGGCCGAGGAGGAGAGGCGCGCCGCCGCGGCCTGCAGGGACATCCAGGTGCGGGTCGCGTTGCTGGGCGACGGGGTTGCCGGGGCAACGGGCCAGCTTCGCACCTGAAGGAAGTGGGCGGGGCCAGCCTCGCACCTGAAGGGGCGGGGCCACCCCTGCGCCATGTGGGGGGGAGAAGGGGGTTCAGCCTCCCCTCAGTTTGGCGCACAAGAGGGGAGCCCCCCCCAGCCCCCTCCCCTCCCCCGCTTCTACCCACAGAGACTCCCTTGTTTCCACCTGGAAAAAAAAACACCTCATTTTTGGGTTGTGTCCAGTCCAGGCCTCCTCTCCACCTGGTGCCTCTGTAAAATCCATGGCCGGCCTCTTGGAGAGGGGAAAAAACTACATTTTTTTCTCCTTCTACGGAATAGGCTGTTGATTTCACTAATATTTTTCCACCTGTTTGTGTAGAATCAAACCCTGCTTTCACCTGTTGAACCCCCAAATAGATCCAGGGTTGAAAAAAGGGGGGGTTGTATATGGTTTATAGATCTCTGACAGCAAGCCCCATTATTCCTTAGTAGCCCTGATGATGTTCCCTAGTCGGGTCATGAAATGTCTGCAAGGAAACCACCAAGCCCAGAGAGCGCCCAGGAGGCCCCCCCCCCCCCCCCCCCCTAGACAGAGGTAGCTAAAGGTGGAGCAGGGGTGTGTGTGTGTCTCCACTCTAGGCCTCGATGGCATGGGCGGGGGGAGAAGGAAGCCACGGCCAACTGATCTCTGGGGAGTGGGTCCACAGAGGAATCCCTGCTTTCCCCCCCTCTGGCCAGAAGCCACGGAGCCCAGCGCCCCATTTAGCGCTCTTGTCCTGGTTGCTCTTCTTTCCAGACAATCTTTCTCCCGAGGAACAAGCCCCCGAAGGAGACCCTGGGATTAGTAGCCCAGCGAGGCTTCAGACTGGAGGAGTATTTCATCGGCCAGTCGATCGGCAAAGGCTGCAGCGGGGCTGTGTATGAAGCGGCTGCTCCTGCCACCCCCACCGGGGACAGAGATCTGGTGCCCGAACGGAGGGATGGTGGTGGGGGTGCTTCGGACACCCAGGGTGTGGTCGAGGCCGAGGGCTGGAAGGAAGAGTTCCCACTGGCTATCAAAATGATGTGGAATATTTCGGTAAGGAACCGATTTTGGTGCCTTTTCTGCCTTGAAAGTAAACACCTGCACTTAGAGAAACAATTTGGTGTAATGGCATCAGGCTGGAAACCAGGATACGGGGAGTTCTAGTCCGGCCGTAGCTCTGAAAAAGGCAGCTGGGTGACTTTGGGCCACTGCCTGTCTCTCAGCCAGCCCACCTCGCAGGGCTGTTGTTGTGGGAGAATAAAGAGATATACATACGTAAAAATCTCTAGTCAGCGTCTTTATTTGCTTCTGGCTTTTCCAGGCTGGTTCTTCAAGTGAAGGCATCCTGGCCACCATGTCTCAAGAACTGGTCCCAGCCAGCGGACGGGCCCTTTCTGGAGAATTTGGAGCAGTTGCCAGACCCAGGTAGGGCTGAACCAGGTGGAGGAGAGTTTACAAGGGAAGGAGAAGACTTGATAGCTTTGCAAGCCGGCCAGAGAAAAAGAGCCATCTCTCACCTTGGCTGTGCTGTGACTGTCGTCTCTGGGCAGGAAGTGCCTCTTTGGGAAGAAGTGGCTGAAGCCTCACCCCAACATCATCCAGGTGATCCGGGCTTTCACCTCTCAGGTCCCGCTGCTGCCGGGCGCCACGGTGGACTATCCGGACGTCCTGCCTTCCACCCTGAACCCCTCCGGCATTGGGCACAGCCGCACCCTCTTCCTGGTGATGAAGAAGTAAGCAGGCGGATACCACAAAATGGGCGCCTTGCCTTTAGGGAGCCTTTGCAGGAAAAGGTGCTGGCAGGTGGGAACGGGCTGCGAGTCGCAAGGGGAGATGGGGACAGGGAGTCTCCCTGCAGACATGGAGCGGGTGAGGTGGGGCTTAACCCCCCTCCCCCTCGGAGTCCCTGAGCTGAGTCCCTCTGGGGGGTTTGGCCTCCTGGAGAAGTCGGGAGTGGGAGGTCGGAATAAGGAGCCACGGGTCTCCCAGCCTTGTAATGCCGAAATGCCTCCCTGGAGGCCTGGGGGTCGGGAGCGGGATTGGCCCAGCGTTTGGCGCTGCTTTCTCAGCTCCCCCCCCCCCCCCTTGCTCTGCTCAGCTACCCATGCACGCTGCGGCAGTTCCTCCTGGCCGAGGGGCGCCCGGAGCCCCGTGTGGGGGCCGTGATGATCCTGCAGTTGCTGGAAGGGGTGGATCACCTCGTCCGACAGGGAGTCGCCCACCGAGACCTGAAGTCAGACAACATCCTGGTGGAGTTGGACTCGGGTGCGTTGCGCTCTTTGATGGATGGACGCGGGACCCTGGGAGGCTTCGGCTCCCTGCTTAACGCCCAAGGGCGTTAAAGCTGTGCCTGCTGCGGGGCCCCTTTTCGGGCGGGCGGGGGGGAAGTCAGCTGTGGGTATTCACTCAGCCGTGGCCCCCTCTCTTGCCCTTGCAGCAGGGTGCCCAGGGCTAGTCATCACCGACTTCGGGTGCTGTTTGGCCGACGAAACGCTGGGCCTGAAGCTGCCCTTCCCCAGCTGGTATGTGGATCGTGGAGGCAACACCTGCCTGATGGCGCCTGAGGTAACTGGGGGGTGGGGGAGAGAGAGAGAGACCCCCTCTGGCTCCCCTTTTCCCCCTTTCTTTCGTCTAAGTCAAGGGGCTATAAAAATAGGGAAGACGGCAGAGGAAACAGTCGCTTTAAGGAATGAAAAGGGAAACAGCCCAACCAAGATGGATGTGTTTATAAACCAATGCGCAGAAGCCATTTTAATTCAAAGTCTGGGAACGTGAAAGCTTTGTATTATATATTCCTACCCCGAGAGGCATTGTGTGCAGACGGAGGTAAAAAGCTGAATAGGCTGCTAAAGAAAACAGTCCTTCATTGGAAAATTCGGCAGGGATCTGTACCCAAAACGAAGGTTCGGTCCTGTAGTTCCTGGTCTGATTCTCTGAGAGCCCTGGAGGTTGTGGTGGGGCCTCTGCCTCTGGTCCCTCTGGTCGCTTAGGAGCTTCCCACCCCACCCACGGCCCCCCAAAGCAAAGGCAGAAGGAGGCTGCCCACCCTTGAGACCAGGGGGTCTCCGATCCCTTGGCGACTTTAAGACTGGCGGACTTCAACTCATGGCCTTAGGGGAAGGGAGAGGACGCCGGCCCCCTCTTGGCTCTCGTCCCAGATCTGCTGCCTCCCGCATCAGGGGGGCTTCTGGCCAGGGAATGGCATCCCTGCAGCGGGGCCTGCGCATCACACAAAGCCACAGGCCGCAAAGGGGACAGAGGCCTCCCCTGGAAGGCTCTGCCCTATAGGGCAGCCTGACTTCGGCCCAGGGAGGGCCTCCGGGGTCTCCGCCTGAAACGTCCTGTCCTCCTCCTAAATCTGAACCTGGGTCTGCAGGGCTGCTCACCCACTGCCCAAAGAGAACGGCAAGCGGACGCCATGCTTCACTTCCCCCCCAGCACCCTTATAACAGCCCCCCGTTCCCCAGGTGGCCACGGCCATGCCAGGCCCAGGCGTGGTGATCGATTACAGCAAGGCGGACGTCTGGGCCGTGGGCGCCCTGGCCTACGAGATTCTGGGGCCCGGGAACCCCTTCTACGGCCAAGGGGGCCCCGCCCTGGACAGCCGCACCTACCAGGAGGAAGAGCTGCCCCCCTTGCCCAGCCCGGCAGCCCCGGAAGTGAAGGAGCTGGTGGCCAGGCTCCTGCAGCGGAGCCCAGCCCAGGTGAGAAGGGCCGGGGGCATGTGGCGGGGCTCTTGGGTCCCTGAGGGTCATGGGGGGGAGTTCCCCAGGGGGGTTTCTGAGGGCCTGGGGAGGGGGCAGCTCAGCTGGCCCCAGAGACTCGGCTGGTCCCGGGGCTGACCTCTCCGCCACTGCTTCCTTTCCAGAGGCCCCCGGCCCGAGTGGCAGCCAACGTCCTCCACCTGAGCCTCTGGGGTGAGGCGGCTCTCGGCCAGGCGGGTGGCCTCCCTCTCCCGCGGCTGCTGCCCTGGCTGCTTCAAGAGTCGGCCGCGGCCTTAATGACCGACCGGCTGGGCGGCACCCGAAGGGTGGAGTCCCGCTTGAAGAGGGGCTTCCTGGCCAGCCTGGACTACGAGGACCTCTGTGAGGCAGTGGCCCTGCTCTGCTCCTGGAGGGGGGCAGCCAGGCCTGCCCCCCAGTAGAAGCGCCCCTCCCCTCGTGGACCCCGTGGGGGAGGCGGCTTCCGGGGGGAGAGGAGGTTCCGCAATGGGGATGGGCGTTTTCTCCCCAAGGCTTCATCAAGCTGGCGACAGGGCACGAGGAGGCTGTGGCCTCCTTGGAGGGAGACCCTGGCTGCTGGCTCCCCCCGCACGACTTCCCGGGTTTCCCACTTGGTACGAGTCGCCTTTGAGAAGGGTGGCTTTGAGTTGCAGGTCCTTTAAGCTCCTCTTTGCTTTTGCCTGTTTGGCCACGTAGGGAAGTTGCCCAACCAAAGGAAAATTGCCTAGAACCCCTCCTTTCATTCCGTGACCTAGAACCCCAAAGGGGAGGATGAGTAGAAACCAGGTGAGAGAAATACCATCCTCACCTGCTTCGTTGTGGTTCTCTTCGGGTTGTTTTTTCCGGTCAAAAGGGGTCTCATCAGCGGCGTAGTTTCTTAGTGGTAGAACTGCCTGTTGGGTCGTGCAAATAAATCACATTCACGTTTGCAGAGTTGTGTGTATGGTGCTTGGTGTTCTTCCAGCGGTTTAAAGGCAGGTTTATTTCTTTTTATTTATTCTGTTGGAAATCCTTCCTTTCACATGAGGCCTCAGAAGAAGACGACGACAATAATGATGTTCACTCCAGCCAGAACTCACAGAAGTACAGGCAGTTCTTGACTTACAACCACAATTGAGGCCAACGTTTTTGTTGCTAAGTGAAACATCTGTTATGTGAATTTTGCTCCATTTTATGACATTTCCTGCCACAGTTGTGAAGGGAGCCACTGCAGTTGTTAAATGAGAAACAGGTCATTAAGTTAATCCAGCTAGATCCATACAATAGATACATAATATAGATAGGTAAAAGAAATAGATAACCCTAGGTATACATAATAAAGATGATAGGTGAGAAAGGTCTGTCCTCCAGTGGCAAATTTTAGTAATGCACCCTGAAAAACCTGCTCTCCAGTGATGAATTTGGGAACTGCAGATTCAAATTGGGAATGGTTTGCCGTCCCAAGGTATATATAATACACAAACACCTTTAAAAATATGGCATCTAAATGTTTAATTTAGGAACTGTGTATGTAACTAACCTGTTACTTGCTTATTGGCAATATGGCCACGAGATGGCGGGCTATTATTGTCAATGCAATTTCCCCTAGACTTTGAAAACCGCGTTTTTCATGTAATTTATTGTCACCCCGTTTTCCCCCCTAGAGTGATGGGGGACTCAGAGTAAGACCCCTCGTCGGATTTCGACAGATCTGTAACCTGATTATTTTTATTTATATTAACTTTCGCGATTCCTTCCCTGCGCCTGCCGTAACGAAAAACCTCCACCAGGTGGCAGGCTGTTATTGCTGTGCAATTTCTTTTCTCCCCCTGCAATAACGCAAAATGGCCACGAGATGGCGGGCTATTATTAAGTTCTTTTCTCTACCTGCCATGCGCAAAATGGCCACGAGACGGCGGGCTATTGTCAATGCAATTTCCCATAGACTCATAAGCCGCGGTTTTCACGTAATTTGAGGTCTATTTTCACCCCGTTTTCCCCCCCCTAGAGTGATGGGGGACGCAGAATAAGATATTTTCCCCGAGTGCCTTCGACAAAAGCTCCGGCTGTCCCTTTAAAGGGCGGGTTACAATCAAGGCGCGACGTCTCCCCCCTTTAGGCCCCCTTGCAATCGCCCTATCTTTTCCAATAGAACCGAATTGAGGCGGCCGGCTGACTGCCTGCACGGGACAACCGGTCGGGGCAGGGAAACTATCCAATTGCCGGGCCCGGGGAGGACGGGAAGGGAAACCTTCATCCACGAGAGAGAGAAATATCAGGTTTGAAAACGGTCAGCTAAAAGTGTATTCGAGCGGGGCAGGCAATCGGATAGACACCTCCTTGCAAGGGGCCTTTCTCTCCAGCAGCCTCGAGCGTCGAAAGAAGTCCTATGAGGGGGAAAGGCAGCAGCTGTGAGGTTGCCTGGCGTCGCTCATAATCCACTTTTAAGGCCAAAAAGGGGGAAAAAGGCATTTTTAGAGGCGAGGCTCCCCATTTGCAAAGCGATACTTCTTTTGCTTGAGCCAGAGCCGCTTCTGCCGCCCCTGGGCATGAGGTTTTTTCTTTTGCAGGTGCGACTATCAAGTCGAAACTGCCATTTTATTTTTTGGGGCGGGGTGCAAAGCTGCAATGAACTGGGCCAGAACCCGCCAGGGCTTCGGGGCCAAATAGAGGTAAGTGAACAGCTTGCATGCACAGGGCAGCCTTTCTTAAAAAAAGGGGGTGGTGGGGGAAGGGAAATTAAAAAAAACTTCAGAGAAGGGGGGGGGACCCACAAGGGAGGGAAACCATGATTGACTTCGAAGAAAGGTTAGACCCAGAAGGATGGAGGCCAGAAATGGAAGTTTTCCATGGCAAATGCATTAAGCGCCCTTATTCTATCCTATCCTTTATTCTGTTCTATTCTTCTTGGTGTTCTGTGTTGTGTTGTGTTGTGTGTTCTGTTCCTACTCTACTCTAATTCTACTCTAATTCTAATTTACTCTACTCTACTACTCCTACCCCACCCCATTCTATTCTATATTCTATTCCTAATTCTATTCCTATTCTGTTCTTCATTTATCCTATCCTATCCTATTCTTCATCCTTTTCTATTCTATTCTAGTTAGTTAACCTGGGTTAAGGGTCTTGTGAACGCACAGCCCAAGTGGCTCGGTGCTTGGCCATGCCTGCCATAAATTGCCTCCACTGTGGCCTTAGCAGGCTGGCTGAAAACTAGTTCATTGTGGTTTCAGCCCATCCTAGCTTTATGGAATGCATGGATCCAATCTGGGTTTGCTGCCCAGGTGATAAACCATTTGGCTTTTTTTAAAAACACCTTTGTGTCTAAAGACTGGATTTCTGGGGGTGCCACCCCCCCAAATCTTCAAAGGCCTTTGTCCTTTGCCCAGTGCCCCACAATCCCAATTTCTCCTTGTATGCTGTTGAAAGCCACCCGTGCAGGTGCCTTGAGCCAATCTCTGCATGCCCCAAAAAGGGGCTTCCTGGTTGGTTTTGACCTCTTTATTTCTCTTTTTAAATGCTCTGGCTTCCAAATTTCTTCCCGCTTCCCTCCTCACTCCGTCCCTTTGCGTGTCCCTCTCCACCCCTCAACAAAACCAGACAGAGATTCCCTTCTCATCCTGTTTTAGATCCTGTAGATCTCTCACAGGATTGCACTGGTTCTCCCTCCTTTCTCTGAATCGGGGTTATTTCCAGCACAAATCGTTCCCAGGGAACCATGGCCCAAAGAACCTTTTTATGAGATCCCTGGTAAAGAGCCCAGGTTGGGGGGAAGTAATAGTGCTGCCCTTATCGGTTTAACATAATAAAACAAATGCGTATGACGGGGAGGGAATTGGGTGGGTTGGAGAGCAAGGGTTTTTTGTTTTTGCATTGGTAAACAACGTTTATTGCTCTGTGTGTGGTTGGCAACCATTTAGAGAGGGCCAGAAACTGCACCGTTCGAGGTGCAGGCAGTACGAGGTGACCTGGAAGCCCCCCCTTCACCTACAAGCGTTGAAGGGTGGCAGTTCCCAGGGCCCCTTCACCTGTTCAGGTATAAGACCCAAGAAGGCACCAAGAACTCCACAGTCTTCCTCCTCTCCTCCTCCTCCCTCTTCACAAACCCCATTTCCTTCCAACACTGATGATGTTCCTTAGTTTGGTTTTGAAACGTCTACAAGGAAACCACCCACTTGGAGAGCCCCAAGGATCTCTGAGCTACAAATATTCTGATCAATATCCCAAAGTTGCTTTTCCAAGGGAGAACTGGACTTTCCTGGGGTTTCTTTGAAGATGTTTCACTTCCCATCCAAGAAGCTTCTTCAGCTCTATCGACGTCTTATCGATACCTTCTCTCATTCTCCACTTGGAGGTTGAGTCCCTTAAAGTTTGCCCCTCCCTCTTCTTCCCATCAAGCTTCCCATCCTGCAGGGGCCACGCGTAAGGCTTTAAATCCCGTGGCCTGTACCACGCAGGCTCCTCCTTAGTGCCAGGGCTGTCAACTCCTCTGTGCTCTGGAAGAAAGGTTGCATTTTAGCTTTTCTTTTTGAAATGGTTTGCACCCTCCACTTGGTTCGGCTCTCGGCCTTGTGCTCAAATCCTCCCAGGTGCTTCATTTGCTTTCCTTGCTGTTTTTCCTCCAGGTAGCCAAGAGGTGGGCCGGATGTTGCATACAGCCAGTTTCCCAGCGGCTTCCCCAGTGCAACCTTCCTCTTGCAGAGCTTCGCCCAACCCTCCACCGGAAGCGTGGCCTCGTCACCCTACGGAGGGAAGCTTCTTCCCAGCCGGGTCTCCCCCCAGCAGGAAAATGGGACCTCTCTCTCTTGGAGGCTCTGAGCGATGCCCCCAAGCCCCCTTCGTGACGCCTGGATTCTCCACCGTCGGGCATCTCACTGAAGAAAGAAGTTCCCTCCCAAAAAGAGGCCTGTGGAAATCTGCTAAAATATTCGTATTGGGGGGAGGAAATAAAGACTCGGCGGGATGGGGTTTTAAAAGTTATTTATGAGGAAGACACACTTGGAGAAGGAGAAACAGCTCTGCAAACCAGCCATGGAGGGTCAAGGACCCCCCCTCTTCCTTTTTTGCAGGGGGGGGACACCTCCATGGCTGGAACCGGTACAGTGTTCTTTTCTTGTGGGGGGAGGTCTATGCATTGCTAGCAGCTTTTGAGACCGACAGTGATCCAGTGTCCAAACTCCATGTCCTTTTTTAAATTTTTATTTTTATTTGGATGGTAGAGCACAGCCTCTGTCTGTGGGGCGATCTTCTTCCCTTTTTTTCTTTCTCTCCTTTGACTTCCTATGTGTTTCTCTCTTTGATGGGCATCATTGGTTGGTTTGCTCGCTCGTTTGTTTCCATCCTGGCCTTTCTGGGCATTTGGTTGACTTGGGACTCCCGTCCTTCCGAGGTCGGTAAAACGAGGACCCGGATTGTTTGGGGGGTGCAATGCTTTGCTGACTCTGTAAACCGCTTAGAGACAGCCTTAAAAGCCCTGTGAAGCGGCATAGAAGTCTTTTCAAGTGCTATTGCAACTTAGAGGCTGCAGGGAGGCCCATCAGTCGCGGGTTTGGCTGCCTGGGAATTGTTGGGAAGGAGGCAGAAAGGAAGCAGGAAGGATATTGTGCTTGGGGGAATGGGGGTAACCCATTGCTTCCCTTCTGGAAGTCTCTGTGTGTGTGTGGGGGGGTCCTTGGTGCTCTCTGAGCTTGATTTTCTTGCAGACGTCTCATTACCCAATTAGGTAACATCATCAGTGCAGTGAGGATGGCACTGATGTTACCAAGCTGGGTGATGAAATGCCTGCCAGAAAACCCAAGTTTGGAGAGTACCAAAGACCCCACAGTTCAACCCTGAGCTGTATTCTCCTCTGTGTGTGTGTGTGTGTGTGTGCGCGCGCGCGCACATACAATACACAGGTATGCTCTGTTTTAATTGGCTTTTGTGCCCAAAGGATGCAGTGTTTTATTTT